CCTGGCAGTGCCCGGCCCGGCGTGGGCGAAGAGCTGAACAAAAGCGGTTTCGCATAGAGTGAGGGACACGGCCGCTCGACTCTCGTTTCGGGGAACTGGGCCTCAACAGCCCCACCTTTTTTCACCAGAGTGGGTCTACGCCGGGACACTTCTTTAGTCTCATGAAAGGGACACTGGAGCCAACTGAGAATTTAAATAACATTCTTGCCTTCGCGGCTCCTGCTCCTCACCCTGCAGCTGTCCCTCAGTCTCAACACCACCTGGGCCCCCGGCCCCGTCCACACGGGGTGTCCGGGAGGGCCCAAAGGGGCCTCAGAGGGCTGTCCCAGGCGAGGATGTGTGAGCCTCGCAGCGACGCTCTGGTATCGGGGCGGACGCCAGACAGGACACCAGTCACTCGCTCAGCCTCTGACTTGGCCCAGGCTCTTCAGCTCGGGTGTGGAATGAGCTTGCGCTCGTGGCCCTGGATGCCACCTTTTCCACCATAAAGCTCGCGAGGCTGGTGTGTCTGGGGCCCGCTGAGCTCAGAACAACCCTCTTTTCCATGTAGGGAGCGTTCCCTCATTTTCTGCGCTGACTCCCGCAAACGGGGTCTGGGATGTCCCTTCTAGCATCTCATCCAGGGGAAGGGAGACTCCTGATTGGCGTGTCCCTTTGAGCGCTCCACGCTGTTTCCATGGAGGGGAAGGCAGGGACGGCCTGGGGGAGGTGGGCCGGGGGTGGGGGTGGTGCGGAGAGGGTGGGATGCCAAGAGAAACCCAAAGGCATGAGATCAAGTCAAACCCAACAGTGCCCCTCTGGGCCTTTTCAGTGTGAGGACAGCTCACCCCAGAGTACACAAACCGACAGACTGCATCCCAGCTCTCCCTGTTTGAGCAGCGTCCAGACAAAGCCTGCCCTCCGGAGCCCTCCCTTGGGCCGGCCCCGTCCACCATGGTAACCGCTGACTCCCTGGCCCTGGGAGCCGGCCAAGTATGTGCCCGACTGCCCTGGATTCCCTCACTTCTTCGCCGTCGGCGGACGGCATTGGATGTTGTGTACGTGTGTTCTTTCTTGCCCTGATGTATTTATGCCCCAATTTTCTTGTGCTTTGTTTAGGGCAGGATGGATGGGGTGGGAGGCCGTGGAGTGGCCAGGGGAATCTTTTGTATCAGATTGGCCAAGAATGTGTGCCCCTTGGGTTCTTAAAAGGCCATCGCCAAGAAGCTGGGCGAGCCAGTGTTCTGCAGGACGCAGGTCTTGATGCGCTTGGAGGTGACGTAGCGCTTCACGCCAGTGTGATCACGTGGCATCTTGATTCCGCTATTAAGGAAGAGTAGGTAAAAGGGCCACGGACACCTTAGGCAACAGTTGTTCAAAGGAGGCAGTAAAACGTGTCATTAGGCAAATCCAATAAGGTGTGGCGGCAGCTTTCAGCCATCCAGCCACATATCACCTCTGTAATTCTCTCTGTGTTTCAATGAGGTCTGTCTTTTTGTAATTTCCTGTTAAAATAAAAGCCACGGCAGAAACACGATTCATTTTTAAACCTCTAACTCAGAGTGTTCGGACAGGCACAGTGAGGTTTCTTCCGGGCGAGGAGGATGGGATCTTTCAAGGACAAGCCTGGAATTCTGTTAGCTTCAAGTTCACAGACCTGCGTCCAGAGGAATCCTTGAGTCTTAACGGTCTCTCTTCCCACTGAATGTCAGATAGCTCCGTCCCTTTAACAATTATACAGTTTTGTCCAAATCTGCTGTAACAGGACAACTAATCTATCGGTCACCTTTCTCTGCAGAAATAATCAATTCTAATCAGTAATTGCTTTTGGGCAATAGTTCAATTCTGCTGTCATCTTTTGGCTCATGGCATCCTAGCATCATCTGAATAGCTCTAAGGGCAAGAATACATTTCACGATGATGGTGTTCAAGGCCAGACAGTATTTATTCCTGTGCTTGACTATTAGGTTGATATGCAGTGCATGCGTCCACGTTTCATTTTCCAGTTCCACCGGGCAGAGATGTGCGTGGGAGTCTGTGTCTTCAGAACGTCAAACATCTGAGTCTCTGGGAGAGGTCATCTTCTCTTAGTTTTCAGAGAGAGATTTGGTGCCCGGTGGACACAACCTGGGATTATTGAAGTGGATTTTCTGGGGAAGCTTTTATGAGATCTTAGATTCAGCATAGGAGGAGGGAATGGCGTTAAGTCAGAGGTGAACCAGGAATCTTATGCAAACAGTTTTCAAACCCCGACCCATATCCCTGTGGCTGAGTCATGCTGGAAGGGTGGAAGCCAGTGCTGGCAGGTTCGGCCATGATCAGCAACTGGAGGACCTCGGTCCCCGCCTCCATGACCCACCCCCGGAACTTTAGCTTCCACATCCTCCCAGAGCTGGGCCCCCTCCCTTCCTTGGACTAGGTGAGTCTCACTAGTAAGTTTGGGCTGTTAGATTACTCAATTATGGGATTTTCTGTGGTCTAACTTGGGCTTCCCTCATAGCTTAGTTGGTAAAGAATTTGCCTGCAAAGCAGGAGACCCCGGTTCAATTTCTGGGTCAGGAAGATCCCCTGGAGAGGAGATAGGCTACCTACTTCAGTATTTTTGGGCTTCCCTTGTGGCTCAGCTGGTAAATAATCTGCCTGCAATGTGGGAGACCTGGGTTGGGAAGATTCCCCTGGAGAAGGGAAAGGCTACCCACTCCAGTATTCTGGCCTGGAGAATTCCTTGGGGTCGCAAACAGTTGGACACAACTGAGTCACTTTCACAATTTGGCTTTATAATTTCCCAAACTGGAGGTTTAAATATTTAGTATGTCTTATTTACTCAATAATATAGTCCTTGAGAAGTTGAGTTAAAAGGGGGCATATCTGTTCCTGACTGTCCTCTTAGGTTGTTGGTGGGGGTGGAGCTTGTAGATGACTGATGCCTTCAGAGCAGAGTGAGCTTAAACCAGCTGTGACTGCCACCTACTCCTCAGGGACTTTAAAAATTGTGACCATTTTCTCGAGTCTTTTCTCTCTCTCTAGTATAGGTTTTGTAGGAGAAAAACACAGAATTTGCTCCTGGTGCAAAGTTTTCCAAGATATATGTTATAAAGAAATAAAAATCCTATTGAAATATTTATAAATCTAAACAACCCCAGAAGCCACACACACAATTAAGCCTTTCAACCTTCTATTCTGAAAGCCAGATAAATCATCATTCATAGAGTGAAGATGAAAAATCAAAACATACACAGAGTGCTCAGACGGCTGCCAATAAAAGAAGGCTCGGAATGCGGTCGAGAAAATTACCCTCGTTTCTGAGCCATACACGGTCCACAGACATCCCAGGAAATCTTTGAGTTTCTGACTCATCAAAAAAAAAAAAGCTTGTGTGATGTCATCTCTGGAGAGCATCACTGAAGTTTAAGGACTCTAGAAGGAAAATGAGAAATCGAATTGAACCCCTGACTTTATACATGGGGAAACTGAGGTTTATTGAACTCAAGTGCCTTGCTCCTGTCAAAGGGTGGAGAGTTTACAAAGCCAGGACTAGAGCAGGCCCTTCCCACCCTTAGATCAGGCCCTGCTTTCATGCCCCTCTCACCCCAGAGATTCAGAGTCCAGCCTGTGAGCCAGCCCTGGAGCCCAAGAACCACACATCTTATTCTCCAGGTGCAGGAGACACTGGGAAAAGCTTGTTCACCGGTTCATCTCCTACTGTGTGTCCATACTTCCGCTTAGTCATTCATTGCACTGACATGCACTTGACTCCTAGGAGGTGCTAACACGTGCTCGGAAGTCCTTTGGTACACACTGGGGAACCATCCGCTGACCTCACCACGTTCAGTCGGGGGAAGAGACGTGGTCTCGGAAACTGCTGAGGCAACAGGCCCGTCCCAGAGTCAAGGGCAAGGTCTGCTACCCCTGGAAAGGAAGCCCTGGGGTTTCACACCTGCTTCTGCCCCTGGGGTTGGCATTAATTTCCCAGCCAGGGGCCGCCTGGTGGTGTCAGTTTGGAGACCACATCTGCCCATCTATGGCCGGGCTGGGGTCTCCCTTTTCCCTAGGGGTGGAGGGGGGCGGGGTTCGATTCCTGACACCAAACCCTGGCTAGTTTCTTTACTTCTCCAAATCGAGGCGTAGGGCTTCCGCAGCTGCCTCCCAGCTTCTTCCCTGCAGGAGACACCTCCCACGCGGCTCTCCTGTCTATCACCGAGGCCACTAACCCAGCTCCCAGGGACCACAACGGCTCTGACGGCCCCCTTCCCCACCTCCCCCGGGGCTTGGGCAACGTCGGTGTCCAAGAGTAAGGATCTTGGCGTTTGCTCTGTAGCTGCTGGAGTATTCCCCTTTCCAGGTATGTTTCGGGGCCCTCGAGCCGGGATGTTGCTCAGCACGTGCGTGGCGTGCTTGTCGCAGGCCCTGAGGCCCCAGTCTGGCTCAGTCCGAGGTGCTGGCACGACCCAGCCCACTTCCGCGCCAGGCAGCTCTGCGGGCGGTGGCCGCTCCTAGCAGCCCTCTGCTTTCCTGGCTCGCCGCCCGCGCATCCCCCGCGCCGGGCCCCGGTTGTGTGCAGGTGCAGGCTGTCTGGATCCACAGCCTGCGCGGCCGCTCGTGGCGGACGGGGGACGGGGAGCCTTTGATTGACAGCCCCGCCGGGTGGGCGTGAGGCGGAGGACGGCCCTCACAGCTGGAGGGGCGGCGGTGATGTGGATGGCGGCTGCACCTCCCCCGTTTGGTCTTCTCTGTCGAGGCCGTCTGGACTCCCGGGGAGGGTGTCACCTGGTGACCTCCGGCTGGTTGAGCGCGTGGCGGGTGCCTGGCGGATGCCACGCCTCCTCCAGGATGCGAAGAAGTCCAGCCTGGGTCCCCGTCCGCTCTGCTGCCTTCCTTTGAGGCAGTGGCCTTGGCAGGGCCGGAGCAGGGCGGAGAGGTGCCGCCCCCCGAGGACCCCCGAAGGGCATCAGCAGCTGGCTGCAGCCAGGGAGCCTCGGGGTCGGTCAGCGGTAACCTCTGCGCTCCCTCCCGGGCGCTCATCACTGGGAAGGACCTGCGGCAGCGTGACAGGGAGAAACGCCCCCCAGGAGAGGGCCCGGCTTAGCCTGGTCCGCCCCGCCCCTCCGGCCGGGCGTGCGGAGGGGAGGGGAGCGCACCGCCGGCCGGAGGGAGGGGGGTCGTCCGTCTGCGGACGAGGGTCCCGCCCAGTCCTCCGAGCGGGGCCAGGGTCGCTGTCCATGGTTCTGTCGTTCGGCGTTCTCAGCCGGCTCCCCCTGTGCCGCTGTGAATGCGCTTCTAGACCAGGTTGGGCGGTGGGGGGACCTGAGGGGGCCCGTGTTCGTCACGTAAGGCCGGGGATCCCACGAGTGACACGGAGCTCTGCACTGAGTCCGAGGAAGGGCCTGAGAAAGCAGGGGGCTCGGGAGAGGGGGGCCTCGGAGCCGCATGACCCCGGGCGGGGGGGGGGGGGGCTCCGCTACTCCAGGACCCTGTGGGGGGCCTCCTGTGGGCGCACGTGCACAGGAAACGGGGTCAGGGGCTCCCTGGGATCCAGGAGCCGCGGGGAGGATGCTGTCTAAAGAGGGCTGGATTGAACGTCTTCTTTTTCAAGTGCCTCTTGGGTTCCAGGCAGGCAGCCGGGGGAGGAGGGGAGTCTTGGCCCAGGCCCCCAGGCCCTCCCTGGAGGCTGCGCTGAGCCCCTTTGGCTGCCAGCTTTGCTCTGAGTCTGGGCGGAAGCGGCACCCAGATAACAGGTACTGCATGTGCAGAGGCGAGGGCATCCCGTGCCCTGGAGGACACGGCCCCCAGCTTCTCAGAGCTCCTCCTCCGTCTGATGGAGCCTTCCCAGCAATTTGTCGGGTGGCACTGACGGGCCTCGGGGCTTCCCTGGGGCTCAGCTGGTAAAGAATCTGCCTGCAGTGCAGGAGACCTAGGTTCAGTGCCTGGGTCCGGAAGATCCCCTCGAGAATGGAAAGGCTACCCACTTCCGTGTTCTTGCCTGGAGAATCCCATGGACAGAGGAGCCTGGCAGGCAGCATCCATGGGGTCACAGAGAGTCGGACACGACTGAGCAACTAACGCACACCCACTAACAGTCCCATTTCACAGAGGAGCAAACAGCCGTCGGAGACGGCACACCAGGTTGGGAGGTGTAGGTCTGTGGCGAGGGTGTCCTTCCAGGCGTGGAGGCGGGTGTCACTATGCACGCTGGCGTGGTCCCTGGCCTTGCAACACCTGAGCCTCCAAGAGACCTCACATAGCCCCACCCTGCAGACTGAAACCTCACAGATGCCCACTGTCAGGAAGACAGGATGGCTGTTTAAGTGCTCTTCACTATTCCTCCAAGGAACTAGGAGGTCTCCAGGCCCGTCCCTTGTAGCTCTCATAACCCATGACCAGGGACACCGGGAGACAACCCAGCAAGGCCGTTCACACATGCAATAACTGTAGGGAGGAGCCCTGCAAACACATGCCTAGACAGAACCCACCCTATATGGCAGCTTCACTTATTTAGAACACGCCCAGTAACCAGAAGAAGAGTGAAAAGGATCCTGTATGTGCTCAGTCACTCAGCTGTGTCCGACTCCTTATGACCCCCATGGACTGTAGCCCACCAGGCTTCTCTGTCCCTGGGATTCTCCAGGCAAGAATACTGGAGTGGGTTGCCATGCCCTCCTCCAGGGGATCTTTCTGACCCAGGGATCGAACCTGTGTCTCTCGGGTCTCCTGCATTGGCAGGTGGGCTCTTCACCACTAAAAAGGACTCTGGATGCCCAGATAGGTGTACTAGGTCCACACCCATCCCTTCCAGACCCTCATCTGTGGTCTTCACACCCTTGAAAAATTTCTAACTTGGTTTTCTGGTTGTGAGCATCCAGCACTTTTAGAAATAAAACATCCAAGACAGCAGAGAGCTTCCTACAGGTTGGCATCACTAGGGCCCAGATGTTGGTGAAACGAGGGAAGAGATGGGAAAATGAACTGCCCTGGGTCAGGCTCAGGGGCTCAGGAGCCAGTGGCTAGGTGCCTGGGGGAGCTGGCAGCCGGAAGCACTGGGCAGGGTTCAACTTCTGCAGAGAGCAGTAACTCAAGCAGGTGGATTTGTTCAGCTTGAAGTTTAATAAAGTGGAGAGATGGTGCAACACTTTTCCAGAGACATTCCAGTCCAACGTGAAGAGCAGGCTAACTGGGATGACAGTTAGCTCTGGATTCCTGGAAGGCTGCCCCCCAGGAGGGTGGGCACTTGCATCTCAGCTGAGTGGTGGCCCCTCCCCACCCTTGGGAACTTGGCCACTCTCGGGGGCCAGTGGAGACAGGTGGGGGGTTGACCTCCACTCTGGAGATAGTGGCACCCTGAGCCAGGCAGGAGCTTTGCTGTTGGGGGTGGGGACAGTGTGTTTGTGCCCTAGGACTGGTGGCGGGGTGGGGAGGGGGGGCGTCCTCAAGCCCCAGGCAGGAACTGACTGGAGATTTTCTCACTCCAGGAGGCTTGTTTTTAAACTGCTTTGTTAAGCTTCCATGGTGGCTCAAATGGCAAAGAATCTGCCTGCAATGCAGGAGATGCAGGTTCAGTCCCTGGGTTGGGAAGATCCCCTGGGGAAGGAAATGGCAACCTGCTCCAGTACTCTTGCCTGGAGAATTCATGGACAGAGGAGCCTGGCGGGCTACAGTCTATGGGGTTGCAAAGAGTCGGACACGACTGAGTGACCAACTTTCACTTTGTAGAAATGGAATTCACAGACCCTATGATTCATCCATTTAAGGCGCGATTCAGTGGTTTCTAGAATAATCACAGATATGTGCAGCCATCACCACTATATTAGAACATTTTCACGACCTTCAAAGACAGCCTTTAGCTACAGCTTTCCTGTCTCTTCGTTGCCTGTCCCCTCAGCCCGGCCCAAGGCCGGCCTGCTCTCTGCTCTATCGAGGTCCCCGTGCTGCACGTTCAGGGTGACAGGGCGCGTGGCCTTCCGTGACTGGCTTTTTCGCACAGCATGATGTTTCCAAGGTTCATCCGTGTTGTAGCCTGTGTCCGTGCGTCATGCCTTTTTATAGTAAAATTACATGTCCTTGTATGAAAAGGCCATGTTTGTTTATCCCTTCTTTCATCTCCCCCTGCCCCAAATATGCAGAATCATATTGTCAGCTGCAGCCATCACGTTGTACATGACATCCCCAGGGCTCATTTATTCTGTGCCTGCAAGTTTGTACCTTTTGCTCACCTTCACCTATTTCATCCCCCTTCCCCATCCCTGCCTCTGGTCACTAGGTCTGTTCTCTGCATTTATGAGTTTGGACTGTGTCTGTGTTTAGAGATGGCATATCTGAGATCGTATAGGGTTTGTCTTTCTCTGTCTGACTTATTTACCTTAGCAGAATGCCCTCAAGCTCCATTTGTGTTGTTGCAAATGGCGAGATTTCCTTCCTTTTTTATGGCTGAATAATCTCCTACTACTACTAAGTATAATATAAAACTATTATACGTGGATATATGCCATGTTTCTCTATCCACTCCTCTGTCAGTGGACACTCTGCTACTATAAATAATGCTTCAACAAACATGGGGATTCAGATATCTTTTTATGATGCTGATTTTTCCTCAGATAAACACCCAGAAATAGAATTGCTTGATCAAATGGCAGTTCTATTTTTTTTTTTTTTTTTGAGGAACCTCCATACTGTTTTCTATAGTGGCTGTACCAATTTACATTCCCACCAACAGTGTATCAGGGCTCCCTTTTCTCCACATCCTCTCCAACACTTGGGATCTCTTGTCTTTTTGATGACAACCATCCTAACAGACACGAGTGCCTACCTCATTGTGGTTTTGATTTGCATTTTCCTGGTGATTAGTGATGTTAAGCATTTTTCATGTACTTGTTGGCCACCTGTGTGTCTTCTTTGGAAAAATGTCTATTCAGGTCCTCTGACCATTTTTAAATCATATTATTTTTTGATTTTGAGTTGTATGTGTTCTTTATATATTTTGGATATCAACTCTTTATCAGATATATGATTTGCAAATTTTTTCTTACTCAGTAGTTTGCTTGTTCATTTTGTTGATGGTTTCCTTTGCTGCACAGAAGATTTTTAGTGGCATGTAATCCCATTTGTTTATTTTTGCTTCTGTTGCCTTTGATTTTGGTGTCAAATCCAAAAAACCATTGCCAAGACCCACGTCAGGGAGTTTGCCCTCATGTTTACTTCCAGGGGTTTTATGGTTTTGGATCTTACAGTCAAGTCTTTAACCCATTTTGAGTTGATTTTTGTTAGTGGAGTAAGACAGTGCTTTCTTTCTTTCACTTGTGGCTGGCCAGGTTTTCCAAATCTATTTATTGAAGAGACTGTCCTTTGACCATTGAATATTCTTAGTGCTCTTGTCAAATATTCCTTGACCATAAATGCAAGAATTCATTTCTAGGCTTTATATTATGTTCTGTTGGTCTATGTGTCTATTTTTATGCCAGTATACTGTTTTGATAACCACAGCTTTGTAGTACAGTTTGAAATCAGGAAATGTGATGCCTCCAACTTCATTCATTTTCAGGATTGTTTTAGCTATTTGGGATCTTTTGTGGTTTCATACAAATTTTAGAATTGTTTTTCCTACTTTTGTGAAAAATGCCATTAGAATTTTGATGGGGATGACATTGAATCTATAGATGGCTTTGGGCAGTATAGACAGTTTAATAATATTAATTCCTCCAATCCATGAACATAGGATACTGCTCTGTTTATTTGTGTCATCTTCAATTTCTTTCATCAATATCATACAGATTTCAATGTACAGCTCTTTCACCTCCTTCGTTAAATTTCTTCCTAGATATTTTATTCTTTTTATGAAACTGTAAACATGATTGTTTTCTTAATTGCTCTTTCTGATAGTACATTGTTCAGTTCAGTTCAGTTGCTCAGTCATGTCCGACTCTTTGCGACCCCATGGACTGCAGCATGCCAGGCCTCCCTGTCCATCACCAACTCCCAGAGCCTGCTCAAACTCATGTCCATTGAGTCGGTGATGCCATCCAACCATCTCGTCTTCTGTCCTCCCCTTCTCCTGCCTTCAGTCTTTCCCAGCATCGGGGTCTTTTCCAATGAGTCAGTTCTTTGCATCAGGTGGCCAAAGTGTTGGAGCTTCAGCTTTAGCATCAGTCCTTCCAATGAATATTCAGGACTGATTTCCTTTAGGATGAACTGGTTTGATCTCCTTGCAGTCCAAGGGACTCTCAAGAGTCTTCTCCAATACCACAGTTCAAAAACATCAGTTCTTTGGTTCTTAGCTTTCCAGTCCAACTCTCACATCCATACATGATGACTAGAGAAACCATAGCTTTGACTAGATGGATCTTTGTTGGCAAAGTAATGTCTCTGCTTTTTAATGTGCTATCTAGATTGGTAATAACTTTTCTTCCAAGGAGCAAGTGTCTTTTAATTTACTGGCTGC